ACAGGAGTAAATACTCAACTCATCAGAGGCTGGCTTTTACAACTAGACCACTAGGTCAAATCAAAGAAACAGCCACCATTGTAGATGAGTGCCGACGAATTACCGCAACAAGTATGCCTATGCATTATTTTGAGAGAATTTCCTTAGCGCAGTTAGAAGACTTTCGCGACTTTGAGAAAACTGGAATGGAATAAAATGGACATTTGAGAACAACCAATCAAACCAACTGGTTTGGGAGGAAATGTAACTCGCACATCATCATAGTTGAAACCACAAAGGTTTCAATTTAATAAAAACTAACTAAGATATTATAGCATCTGATATTAACATACGTCGCAGAAAACTTGCTTAAACTGCAGTCAGTGTTCAATAATTGAACGCTGTGAACTCTGTAATTGTATACTCTTGTACACAATCATTGTGCTGTTCTTTTCTTCGTGACGTTCCAATGTAAACTATGATCATCATGTGGGTTTCTCCTTATGAAAAATTGAAATGCCTTTAGGGTGGATCCTGACTGTAAAAAAACTACAAATCCAATTTCCATCACGTACTTTTCAGCAAGGCACAACAACGTCCTCGGTTTCAATTTTAAATAAGGTGTGCAGCTTCTTTTGGCCATCAAGTTACAAACCTGATAAGTTTTTACTTAACTGACGCAGTTTTTATTTGCTCAACCACAATGTTCCACAGTAGTGCTATCTGCTCATGGCTACCAATACGAATTTCAAAACTTTCCGTTTTTGCGACATTCTGTACCTGTCACTTTTTCACTTACGTTGTACGTCTGGACTACGGAGGCACGACCGTAGTAGACGTTTACACGCTTTTAGACTGCACTCGTGTATGTAGCTGCCGTGTTAGGTGTTGTGGAACATTCAACTTATACTCTACGGGATGACGATCCAGATTATATCTAGGAATTGGTTGAAGTGTTGAGAGATGAATAATTTAAATGAAGGATGGGTTTGCATTTTGTAAACCTAAACTGCAAAGCTAGATTAGTATTTAAGGCGAGGACTGCCCTGAATCCAAATTCTACCTACGAACAAAGGCTTTTAGCATTGAATTTCACGGCTAGGTGGTTCACAGCCAACCTACAGATGTATGACCACATATCAAGTAAAAATTTACTTATCTAACTAGACCTGTCTCATTTGACAACTCCTTCCTCCATATGACGTATGGTAATTAAATTGCTAAACTATCAACACATTTCCTATTAACATCTGATTCTTATCGGACCACTACGACTCCTCCGTATTCTTGTTGAACAAATCAGAATATCGTTAATCAAACCACTCACTGCTCGCGTGTAAATTAACCGCCTCTTTACCTACAGTCTAGAGGCTGACAGGTTAGCGCGTGTCTTGCTGTAATCTACCTATATGATCTCCTGTTTGACAACGCCTGAGTGTGAAGTCGGTCGTGAAATAAGAAGTAACTCGACTAAAGACCGCCAAGCCTGCAGGTGTTCGTTTTTGATTGAACGTAACTCAATTTAGATAAAGAAGGGAAGTTGCAGTAAGGTCGACCTGTCAATCCGGTACATAATAAAAACTAATTAGTCACACGTTTGTAAACATATAATATCGTATTGCTTTTACGAATGTGGTCTCGCAATAAATTACGTGATTGTGGTGTTTTAGTTGGTGGTGAGCCCATTGGTGCTGTAAATAATAAAGACCTCGGTCCTCTCCAGCCTTACATCCCTATACCAGTCTCAAATGCTTTGGCCAGTCCTTGTTTTATGAGAGAGGTCGAAATTACGACATTAGGAGATTGTTTTTTTTTCAGGTTGGCGAGATTAGGATTCGGATTTTGATGACAGAAACTTCCCCCTATAGCCTCTGGACTAGCGAATCGTATTTTACACTAACATGAATTACTCGCATAGAAATGGAAGTCAATGAATTAATAGTTTCTAAATAGATTTTTTACTGCAGTTAATTTTAAGAAACATACAATACTACTAAAAGTATCATGTGTTGCGAACGTGCTAGCTTTCGAATTTACAACATTCATCACAACATCTTAAGTGTAGTAAATCTGTAGGCTGTCAGCAATGATATAGTGGCTAGACCAGTACCGAGTGTTTACAAATGTAGATGTGACTATAACCGGCGCAATTTAACATGTACCAGTAAATCTTGGTGGAAGGCATGTGACATCTCCATACGTACGGTCGACAGGTGGCATATCTATTATCTGGACCGCTAGTCTGGGCATTTACAACCGGAATGACACAGAAATCTTTCGCTTCTTTGCCTGGCTACTATTTACAGATAGTTCACACCGAAAACGGATACACAGTTTAAAATCACGAAAAAATGCCATAACATCAATCACAGTATATACAATCCTAAAATGTTTTATTCTTTAAAGCCAACTTTATTTCGACTTGACCATATACCGAATCGACTTTCGGCCACTTTCCGCGCGTTTACGACCTTCCAACTCATTTCCCTCCAAATCCCACCGTCCTTTGAGAGTTTTATAACTGCGGAAAAAATGGCGGACATCGGAAAACGACAAAACACTTTTTTATTTAACGGCTATAACACAAAAACGCTAAGTGCTAGCAAAGATTTGAAAGAATTTTCATGGTCAGGAATTAGGTACATTTTCTACAAAACCTTTTCTTATGTTTTCTGAAATTTTCACCCCTCCACCCCTAAAAAACGCCCTACTTTCAAAGATTGGTTAATTTCGTTCAAATATTTAATGGTTTGAACTACTTTTTCCTACCTAAGAGATTTGTGTTTGCAAATATTATTAATGCGTTGAATTTTCCTTATTGGTTACGAACAAGATTGCTCGATTTCGACCAAATCAATCGGTCCAAATGCAACAGTTAACTAATACGATAGCGGTTTAGCAAATTATCGCATCGCATTACACCACTATACCACATTATGTCACGTCCTAGCCCAGTAGCCCATAGGCCGAGGCAGGGGCGGAATATATCAAACAACTGCTACAGGCGCTTGTGTATAATGATGTTTACTCTGCGATTTCCACAGAAAACCGGTCCATCAGTGCAGGAACACTGAACAGTCATCGTGAGTCATAAGATAGAGTACATTAAATTACTACATTGATTCGTATTAGCATAAGCTTTAAGCTCAATCGATTAGAAAATTGTACACTATTTGAGGCCGGAGGGCAGCCAAGTAAATTACAAACCGTTCGTTTTATCCAGTTTTACGAGTTTTTAAAGACCAGATATAAATTTTCTTTAAATTAATCTTCTAAACTTTATGGTAGGTTTAGCTCACCTACGACGCACGCTGTGGGAGGGCTTCAAGAACACAATTTGTCATACTTGATCATTAATTTTTTTTGTGACCGGTACGATTGCAATAGTTGTGAGTTATGAAAAAGAGTTGTTTATCTATCAAGTTAGATTCGTAAGACGCGACGCCGAGCGACACAACACGTTTAGTATTGTAAGGTGTAGGTGGGCGAAGTAAATGTTGAATGGATGATGTTAACGACTAAGGTGTCAGTTGGTTAAGCCACGGCCATTATTTTTGGCCAAGTCCAATGAAGACAAGCTGGATGTTTCTGGACAGTAGAAACATCAAAACTTTTTTCCCTATTATCAGGATCGAACTAGCAACCTTCTGAAGGTGACTTTTTTTGTAAGCCCTAACAACTCATTTCCCAGGAATGGATTTTCTCTAATAAACTTGTTTGTGTCCACTCCGCTTTGCTTAACTTAAGTCTAACCATACGTCTATGAGTTAGCCATCACCAAAGAACCTCCAAAAATTGTTGTTAACTGCCATACGTACTCATTCAATACACGAGGTGCACATAAGGGGTTATCACATTTATCGCACTTCTTTACATATGGATCTACTTTTTGTTTCTGTCAATTTAGGATGGATCAGAAATTCATCGGACCCGTATAAAAACAGAGTAAAAAATAACATTAAAAAAAATTTAATCAAATGATTCTTCAATCATCGTACAACTTGTTTTGCGTTAAGGCAAACCCACAACTAATGTTACATGCATTACAAATCTTCCATTACGCACAATTGAATTTCCCTCGTTGTTCAAATAGACAATTTCCTCATCACAGCACATTGCATTGTACAGTGCAGTCGACGTCGCTGTAGGTCTTAACACAACACAACTGCTTCCCACGTTTCTAGATCACTTACAACACTTGACACGTCATTGCTGTGGCTGCGGCTGCGGTGACCCAGCTGATATGACAAGGACAGATGTTGGCGGGCAAGAGGCCATTTCATTACGATTAACATTCGGTTTGAGCTCTACGATAGGTCTTAGACAACTACGAATATCCTTAAAAATGGCCGAGGACACACTTCTAACATTTGTTTACAGCTCGTCAACATAAACTAGACTTTAGCATACTGCAAAACACAAACAAACCTTAAATTGGTCGAAGAAAAAGTCTTTAAACACAACATCTAAGCACTCTATCTGAGTCGCGTCGTAACACTTCGGCCCAGTAACATTTCGGCCCGAAACCCTCAGTTGTGGCCTACGGTCCAACTCTCTACCTGCCCACTAGTAACACTTCGTCCCAACAAAATATTTGACAGGTTAGGTTAGGTTAGGTTAGGTAAGATTCACCGATTCTCCGTCATGTGAGGTCAGAGGATGCAAGGGGTGACGGTTGGGCGACATTCCACCAGAGGGTGGTTGCAAAGTATACAGGTCATGTACCTCTTACTACCTGAACTGCGTTCCTCAACCCTTGTCAATTTTTCGTCGGGCCGAAATGTTACTCCATTAGCTTATTTAATCATCTGTAAAAGCGAGTGGGACGAAGTGATACTGTTTTTCTAAGAAATTTGAGTTTGGCCGAAATGTTACTGGGCCGAAGTGTTACTACATCATCTGAGTTATTCCTCAACTGTTAGGCCTCCAGCACAAAAAGAACCAACACAACCGATAAGCCTCTCAAAACGCATGTCAGTTTATTCCACCAACAAATTGCAAAGACAAGTATAACTGTTTACCTTGAAGAAGAGCCGGCGGAGGTTGAGGGTCCCGCACCGTCATCGTCCTCCTGCTCTGAACCAGCCTCCACCTCGGGCTCGTCTTCCTTTCCACTGCCAGCGTCCTCCGTCTCCATCCTGTACCTGTATCATGACAACACACGTCAGTCCTACAGTATTGTATAGAGCCAGCGGGGGTCGAGGGTCCACAGGAACCTAAGTCCAATGTTGAGGGCGTTGTTTGTTGTTGTAGTTTTAAGCAGGATCCAGCCTTGACGATTCAACCTTTATTGAGTGGATTAAGAAAGAACAGTACAAACAAAACTACTCTCCCTTATTACACACTTCACACGCATTAGTTGTGTCCTAATAACGTAGTAAGTGTAATATAGTAATAGTAAGTAATATTTATCGCCGTTTTCATTTTTCTGAGCCAGTTAACTACCATAGGCTCAACATCCTACATGTACTACTAATACTGTAGATGTTCTTGTAACAAGATAAAGAGACGACAAAGCAACAGTAATATAATTAATCGCCGGGGTTTGAGGGTCCACAGCACCGCTTCGCCCTTCTATAAGCCAACACCACTACTTGTTATACAAACCGAATTTTAACATCGTGCAGTCATAAACATTCAAAGGATGACGTGATAATAATGTCAGTTGAGATTGGGGAGATAAGTCATTTACTGTGTGTGCCACCAATCAAACACTAGTAAAATAAGGTTAACAGCCACCTTCTGATGACTCATATGTCACTAGACTAAATGGACTGCTTTGCCATAAAATGGTCTGCGTTTACTCAATTGTCATTAAACGGTGTCATAAATTTGACTAATTGAGAAGCTAAAAGCCTGGGCGGCTCTCGCTGAAGTTTCAATTACACAGGCTGCCAACCGTCCGGCCTATCAGCTAATACTCGTAAAGCTGATTTAAAACTCCAAATCTATTTAAAGTGAACCCACGAAGATCTTGTCTTAGCCAGGTTTGTCCCGTCGCAAGTAAAGACTTACGATTATTATAGTTTTGAAAGCTGACGGTCATCAATCAAAAACGTCGCGTCAATTTAACTAGAATATCACTGACGGACTCAAGTCAAATTAGAGAGATTTACACACCTTAAGCAAATCTCCCATGTTGCTAAGGTATATAAACAGCATTTGTCTTTGCAGTTATCAGATTCATTATAGGCCTACTATATTGAAGTAGGTATTCCACAAAACCTCACTTCATAATAATTTAGATTTTGGTCTGTTCCCACTTTTTGAATAACAGTACAAATGCCACCGCTGCCACGTCCTTCGCGTATTAAGGAACTGGTTAACGAAACTTTGCATTCGATGCCGTTGGTACGTTGCTAAAGATGTTTCAATAACAAATCCAAAATTCTTTCAGCGAGATCACTCGATTACATGATCGCATATTCCGACAAAGCGAGCAAAAACGTGTCCGGCACTTCCACCTGCCTATCAAAGCTGTTTATGATAATACGTTAATTACAAGATAAATCGAAGACGCCATGAATGTATGCTAATAACCTCGACACCGGCGTAGTAAAAAGGTTGTACATAGAAAAATAATTAGCGATTAATTAACGCAATTTGATATGTTCAATTACTTACGTTTTTAATTCAGCTATGTTAATTAGTGAGCTAAGAAGCTCGCAAAACTGGTTCCACAGATTTATGACTGACTTAATTAAACTATTTTACTTCCAACTACCTACTATTCGAGTAGTTTCTCTCAATGGCTGCTCTGTTAACAATATATGGTCGATATCCCAGTAAATGGTCGCCAGTCCCGACCAACAGGTGACCTGTTGCCATTTAAGCACTGGTGAGTTACCATTGCAGACTTTATCCTCCAATTTATATGCATGAAGTCCATTAGCGGATAAGTACTACGTATCGATATAGGTTAAGCCCTTGCAGAAATTACTCACGCTGCCCGGGTTCGGAGAAAAATAACACTAATTGGAATCATTATGGTATATCAATCATACGTAGTTTTTGAAACTGAAACTGTATACAGGATGTTCAAAAAAGGTGGGACATAATCAACCGCATATTAACCGAACTAATCAAACGTTATTCACACTATTTTTCATCTTGTCTACGCCGTTTGCATGAGATAGAAAGAAATAGTTATTCAAAAGCTTGTTGGGAAAGCGGTTCAACCCCATATGTGTGCCGGGAATCGAACATTAAAAACACAAGTATTCTGTGGAACGTCCATTAAAGTTTGTAATAGTTTTTTTTTTAAACTGTTATAAGATTATGAGTTTAACTAGCTATAAAATACCTACCTTTAGTATTAAAAGGTGCCCTAATGGATATGGCTGCGCTCAGTCCGAAATCAAATTGACACGGGTTGGATACTGTCAATGCAACTACAATTAGATTAACTAAAACTTGCACACGCAAAATATATTGGTTTTGAACCTAACAATGTCACTATTTAAAAAATATTTTACGGCTGTACGCATCTCAATCTATTCATAACACATTGAAGAGTTATATATTGTAAATGTTTTGTAATTATATTAATACTAGTTAATAATAAAATTACATACTGAAAGTGAGGTTATAAAAATAATAACAAATGTCTGGCAAACATAAAACAGCTGACGAATAATTATTACAAAAAGAATAAATATTTGTTTAAATTTATCTCTCTCTATGTATATAAATATCTAATGTATGTATGTTTGTTTGTTTATTTGTCCTTTATGGAGTCCGAAACCACTCGACAGATTGTAATGAAACTTTCAGGCATTATTCAAGTATGGTTTGTGTGAAGTTTGGTGCAGATCCGTCAAAAGGGCTCCACCCCAGTGGCTCTGGAGTTTCCCATGTTAACCTTATGAGAAGTCATATTTAAATGGAATTAAAGAATCTTAACAGCTGGTTCAACTAAATAATTTGATTCTGTGATGTTCAATAGCATTTAAAAATTAATAGGTTTGCCAACAGGGTGCAGCACTATTTTTTTTATTTTTATTTATGACAACAGCTAATTTGCAACCAAATGTGAATGAGCGTAGCGAACGAGCTAACTTGAAGGCAAGTGAGCGCAGCGAACGAGCTTTCACTTAAAGGTGAGAACCATCTTAAGGTAACGTGATTGAGCCATGCGAAGGAGCTCATCTTGAATATCAACGAGCATTGACATTAAACCACATTAGGACAGGACGACGTCTGACAGGCCAGCTAGTTTATAATATTTGTCTATGGTATTATATTCTTCAAAAAGAATTGTATTGACTCGACCTTTGAAGGGCTGTAGGTCGTAGCCCTTAGATACAACGTAAATTCTAAGGAAGTTCGGCAAATCTACGCATTATCCCCTTTAATTTGAGGGATAAATCTTGAAGATTTAAAAACTGTGTATTAAAAATATAGATAGATAAATTACATGCAACAATTTAGTACAATTAAAATAAATTAGGTCCAATAATATCCTCTTAAGAGCTCTGTTGCACTTAAGACTATCTAAGTGTGTACCTAAGTGACAACACCATGCCCACCTACGATGAAGAAATAGCTGCCGAAGTTATGATTATACTTAATTGTGGGAACCGGAGCAGAAAGAAACTGTTTAGAAAGTTAAAGCATAGATTAAAAGAAGTAGACATACTATGTGTCTATACTCCTTTTATCTATGGTTAAAGGGTAGCTTCCACGTAAAAATAGTTACAGCCACATGGCACTCCTGCGAGCTTTGTGACCTGAAAATCTTCAGGAAAAACCATTTACAGACGTCAGATGACAGTTTCCGTCATACAGTACTTAGCAACCAGTGACGCCCGTGACACCTCACACAGGAAAAAGAACGCCAGATTGAAGGTCCGTGAAGTTGGCGTACCCATATTAGCGTATCCACTTTTGATCATACCAATCGTTAGTTCATCGTTAGTTCTCGATAGTTCCCAAATTTTGTCGTTAGTTCTCAAAAAATAAAAAAGTTATAGCCGATAATAAGTGGGTACGCTAACTTCACACTTCCGGGTTCTAGCGCGCGCCGTTTTCTGATGAGAAATGTTTACATCTATATATCAATCGTTAGTTCTTCGTTAATCCTCGATAGTTCCCAAATTTTTTCGTTAGTTCTCAAAAAATAAAAAAGTTACGAGGCATACAAAGTGGGTACGCTAACTTCACAGTTATACAATTTCCAGCGGGCACCGTTTCTGACTATAAATGCTTATATCTATACACCAATCGTTAGCTCTTCGTTAGTTCTCGATAGTTCTCCAATATTTACGTTAGTTCTCAAAAAATAAAAAAGTTACGAGGCATACAAAGTGGGTACGCTAACTTCACAGTTATACAATTTCCAGCGGGCACCGTTTTCTGACTATAAATGCTTATATCTATATACCAATCTTTAGTTCTTCGTTAGTTCTCGATAGTTCTCTAATATTTACGTTCGTTCTCAAAAAGTAAAAAAGTTACGACGCATACAAAGTGGGGAGTTTGCGTACCCACTTTGTAAGACTCGTAACTTTTTCATTTTTTGAGAACTAACGTAAATATTGGAGAACTATCGAGAACTAACGAAGAACTAACGATTGGTATATAGATATAAGCATTTATAGTCAGTAACGGTGCCCGCTGGAAATTCTATAATTGTGAAGTTAGCGTACCCACTTTGTATGCCTCGTAACTTTTTTACTTTTTGAGAACTAACGTAAATATTAGAGAACTATCGAGAACTAACGAAGAACTAACGATTGGTATATAGATATAAGCATTTTTATTCAAAAAAGTGTGCCCGCTGGAAATTCTATAATTGTGAAGTTAGCGTACCCACTTTGTATGCCTCGTAACTTTTTTATTTTTTGAGAACTAACGAAAAAATTTGGGAACTATCGAGGATTAACGAAGAACTAACGATTGGTATATAGATGTAAACATTTCTCATCAGAAAACGGCGCGCGCTAGAACCCGGAAGTGTGAAGTTAGCGTACCCACTTATTATCGGCTATAACTTTTTTATTTTTTGAGAACTAACGACAAAATTTGGGAACTATCGAGAACTAACGATGAACTAACGATTGGTATGATCAAAAGTGGATACGCTAATATGGGTACGCCAACTTCACGGACCTCCAGATTGAGATTTTTGCAAGGTTTTGTTTCG